GCTCGTCGAGGATACTCTGAGATTATCGTTTCTTATCAGCCGTTTGTATTCCCTAAGAACCTTAGGATCTCCCGGAAGTGCATGGAACTTCAACCCAGGAGAATTTCTCCAGTTATTTGTACAATTCAGAATGCAACAGTTGTATTTCCCCATACTTTCTCTCAAGCTGCCATCTTGCGTCCCTAAATTCCGCCCCAGAATTCCAAGCGGCGTGGATTCGGCACCAGTCTTCCTTTGAATTTCGGAATGGGGAATTGTCAGAATCTGAGACTTGTCATCGACCTTCACAGGTCAGCCAGCCGTTGTTCAAATGCGTTACTTTGTGTACTGTTACTTTCTTTATCTATATTTTCGTTCACAGCATCTGTCTCAAAACTTTGAGGAATTGTTCCTCTTTCTGGAAACTTAGAACAATTGCAGTTACAGTTTCTAATGTCCAACCAAGGCATTTCAGCGTTTGGATCAGACCCCTAGTCAGTCAGTGGCGGTAAAGCAGTCAGTCTGATCTTCAATATCAAAGTCCCAAATAATCAAAACTTTCCTGTTTGAATCAGTGGAAATATAAAGTATAATGGCATAAATCGATTACCTTCAAAATGTTCCTTTTAAGACTAGTTACAGAGTAAAACTAAATGAGCAATGACTTTTGTGAATATATAGCTCTGAAATATTAATCTCGGCCGTATCAAATCCATTGTTTGGTTGCGAAGTAAATTATGCACTATATTTAAAGAATCTCAAATATCTCATAATTTAGCTAGATAGATTTTTTCAAAAATCCCCACAAATGGAGGCATCTAGTAAATAATTATGTGGTACGAAGCATTTAGTGTTGAACGCTCTGCAAGGCTAAAATTGTTCTCTAAACGAAAACAAATATTTCATCATAATCACGTGTTATGACGTCCGATCTCATTAAAAACTGCATCAAACATTGATTCAATCTTTATGTGACTTATGTGCAAAAAAGATTTGCAATCGGATAAAACACGTTTGTGCACCAGCGTTCCAARCGTGGAAGGTAGCGGTCAAGCGTGAGGGGGTCCAGCCACCTTAACACTTAAAAGTTATGATAAACTGATAAACTTTGCATTGTAAATTTTATAGTTTAGCTTCTATTATACTTATATTCCGCGAACATGACAGTACGAAATCCATAAACATTCGACTTAAGACTTCAATATTGACCCCAAACAACAAGAACGCTTTATCATTATTCCAAACAAAAAAGTTTCAATGATAAGAGCCTCAGCATGACAAGAAATAATTAAAAATGAATGTTGGTAATGAAATGAATGGTTTTAAGAGATATTTTTAAAGAGAAAAATATTTTCAAGGTTTGTCATCTTAGTCGCCGGGTATGTGATTTCATCGGTTGTTTGAATGCTCGATGTTCTAATACTCAATCAATTGCGTTTGAATAAAATTATCAAGTTAAATATCCACTACTTAGCACTTTTTCGCAGCAAGTAACAGCCCTTATGGTCAAAGGCCTGCTTTCCTCATTTAGTTCTCGAATTTTTTGGCAKTCAGGAAACAAAGCAATCCTTCGCTCGCGAGGGTTGTCAGTGAAGCTAACGTGGCCCCAACTAGTTTTATAGACATAAATGGCAGAGACTTCACCGTACAAGTATGTAGAAATTGAAAGCTTACACAGYGTAGATATAGGAAATCACCAACAGCAAGAAAATCCACACCAAAAACGGCGAGACAGATTTGGCTTTCATAATACTTTCTCGCCAGGAGATGTTCTCACAACGACGTTCAAACGCAAATGAAGCATAATGAAACTTTTAACCCACAATGCTCCACGCGCCTTGATCACGTGACTCGTTTGAGGCCGTAGATTTTGCATTAGGCTCCATACTAACGCTCCAAGTCCAGAGTATGGTGGAAAAACRACAGAAATATTTCCACGAGCGCTTGGCCCAACAGAAACACAACGACAAAGCAGCCACACATACCCCTGAACCACGATGGGCTCCCCCCACACCGTCGCCGGTGAGCGGTTTCCATGTCGATCTTTTCCATGACTGGTTTCCAAGACTGGTGACACTTTCTTCTCTGACATCTCTTGACCAATCGTATCATTTATCTATAGCTGTCAATCATTTAGACCAGGTGCTTACGTGGCTAAAGCGTGGCTAAAGATTCTCGTCGTCCTTGTATTGAGTAAAAGTTATTGCCGCTCAGACAAACATCAAATGAAAATGGAAGATCCGATCAACTTTGAGATTTTATCATCCTTGCAAAAGGTCTACCTTTTGGCAAAAGATCGTATTGATGATGGGGAGAAAATAGAAGATATCGTGAAACAGGATTGGTACCAAGAGGAGGAAAGGAAACTTGAAGAAGACATTAAAAAAGGACGCCTTAAATCTGACCCAAATGCATTCTTTGTGATGACAATTAATATGGAAGGAAAAAGTTTGGGCATAGGAACTGCTGACAATCGGAAGATGCTTTTGACAATAATTCTTCGTAATTTTCACCCTTCTCTGATAATGTCTCAAGAGCAAAGTGGCGTACTTGTGGAATTAATTGCAAGAAGTTACCAGTTGGAAGCAAGGAAAAACGAAAATGAGGCAGCTGTATTTTGGAATGGAAGTGACTTCGAAGGGACGGACGACGAACTGAAATCTAGCGATATCAGAATTATTAGAATAAGAGATGAGCTTAAAAATCAGTTCGAGGTAAGCGATGTTCTTTCAAGAATAAAGATGGTAAAACTTACGCCAAAACGGGCCACGGAAGGTACAAMCCAGTCTTTTTTGGCAGTCTCTTGGCATGGACGTCACCATTCTATGAGTAAGTCCAAAAAAAGTGAAGTATTCAATGGCTTTCTAGAATTCGTCAAAGAAGTCTCTAAAGTCAATGGAAATATCCCATTTATTATCGGTGGAGATTTCAACTTGGATACAACGGACGAAGAACTTCCCTTGTCGCAAGGTGTTGTTGTTCCAGGGTACGAACTCTCTCCCAGAAGCCAACAAAGCTCAGAAAAGACAAAAAACTATATCCCTTACAAAGATAATTTTATATTTTCCACGCACGGTATCTCCGTGGAATGGATAAAACCGATTGATTTCACTTCTCGTAGCGCGCAGACCAAGGCAGCCTCTGACCTCTCCGCAGAACAACAAGAAGAAGCGAATCGCATACCTGTCAATCCCAGCCGTGGAATTGTCGACGACTTGTTAGATCATGACCCTGTTGTAGGAGTTCTTAAGTTATCAAGTCCAACAAGCCCAACAAGCCCTGCGGTTCAAAACCTGAATGAAAAGTTTAATAAAGCTGCTTCACTTGGTGCCCAGGAGTCGACTAATATTTAGAGAGGCTTTCTAGAGATACGCTTTCTAATCAGTGTGCTTTGGGGCCCAAGGGAAGAGAAAATATTGCAAAGAAAAGGGAAAAAAGGTTTATAACCGAATTAATTGAAGAGAACTTTCTATTACTTTTAACGTGTATCTGGGACAAAACTTGTAACTTGGGACAAAACAGCATTAAGCAATAATATAGATAAACTGAAATTTAATATACACTTTTGACACATTCGATGCATGCCTTTGACTTACAATTATAGAATACAAACCGCAAAATGCATATTTTCACAGTCTTAACGAAGGCCGCTGATTTGCTTTTTATAGTTCAAATTGTGTTTGAATATCTACAGGATATTAAATCTTTATAATTTTCTTTTCTTTCTATAGGAACTTCCATCCCCCTGTTATCTTTATAAACTGAGCTATGATATGCCTGCCAACACTCTCAACTCTCAGCGATTATTGAACACAGTGTTTTATTGCAAAATGTGCCATGTAGTTTATTTCTCTTTAGTAAWTTGTGAAAGAATTGTTAAATGATGAGGTTGTGTCTACCATTAAAGAAATTTAAAAACATCTTAAACAAAGCCATCACAACCTAAGTACAGGATTTTTTTTACATTCGCGATATGCCTATATAACATATTTCAATAATATAGATACACGTATTTTCATAACTAGTTGATACAAATTACTAGTGAAGTGCTGCGAATATGTCAAAAGTTGGTCATTGTTTCAGTATCAGCCACTAAAGCATTTTCTTGAAATGATAAAATGTCTTAACCTTCTATATACTGACTGCATTTAAAAATGTTCACCTACAAATGTTAATAATTGATATCCCTTGGATGATTCTTTATACACTGAATAAGATCTAGATATTCCATCACCCTACATAATTATGGTATTAAGACAATATATTATATATGATCCACAAGTTTATTGTGTCTGTAATACTTGTCAGGTATATTAACTTTACTATAAGTAATGGAGCCTGAGATTCTTTTAAACAGTAAGGTGATTTAAATGTCTTCTTATATCTTGTATTGCATGCTTTGTATTAGTCAGTAATACTTGTATACATTTGTTGTACAACATGCATGGCTGAACCTTTATAGACTTTTGATTTATTATCTGAAAAAAATATTAGTTAACATTAATCACAACATTACACATCAATCAAAAAATATATACCTAGATGTAGCACAAAAGAATTAGGAAATAGAGGGCAGTTAAAGTAGAAAGAATAACTAGTGAAAATTAATTATAATAAACCAGAGCCAAAAGTTTCCTAATTATTATAATAAGTGGATTGTAATAGATGAGAAACAGGKGATTTATTTTGCCTGTTAATATGGGATGTAAATACAATTCCTTTAATACTGATTTAACTAAGTAGTTGAAACCTGATTAAATGCACTGCATGTTGCTTGTGCTAATTTTTCTAATCTTGCTTCTTTGGCAAGTCTGTGTATTGTATTAAGGATATACTGATGATTTCATGCTTGTTGGTCTTTCGAAGGTCATGTCATTGGCTCAATAATACGAGATGTAACAATATATAACAGTTTTTTTGACAATGCTAAAGGTAACATAAGAGACACAAGTTTTTTTCCTGATTTGTCAATATCTACCCAGGCTTTCAGTAGTGTAAGACCTTGGTTTTTGTGTGCTGTGAGAGCATATGCAAGTCTAAGAGGCAACGCAGTTGCCTTTGTGGACACCATCAGGCAACTGAGGTGATACAGTCACTGGACATATTGGTACACATGTTGGTAATGGTCATTGATAGATGGATCTCTGTAGTCATCAAATTGGACAATAAAAGCAACAGGCAAGTCTGGTGGTTGGTGATTAAGTTGATAGTTAAAATCAATGATTAAGTATACCTGTAGTCATTATTACGAGACCAACAACTGCATGACCATATATTGTCAGCATTWCCTTTGCACCATTTGCTAAGAACGTTTGGTTAAAGACCTCACGAAAAATTTTGTAATTTCCAATTTGGGTAAAAAATGGAAGTATTCTTGACATTTCCATGGGTTTCTAATGGGACTTTTACCAAAATTGGAAAAATGCTACCGAACCCATTAATGGGGGAAAAAAATCACTAGTAAAGCCCATTATTGGGAATTGATTGTCCCAAAAATGGGTCTAYTTCCCTATAAAATCACATACTAGGGTATTTACTATCCTAATAGAATCCCAAAAGTGGGTTTTCCGGTGTAGTCAAAATCTTCCCTTATAAAATCACATAATGGTGTATTTTACTCCCCAATAGAATGCCAGAAATGGGTCAGTTTTAATGTGATTCAAAAAATATATTACCTATAAAATCACA